GCTAAAATGAAAGCCAAACAAAATCCCATTGCCAGAATCCTGGATTTATAAAATTCATTTTTAACCGTGAAATATCCACTACTCATAGAAACATAAAGTAGCTTTTGCTCAAACTTGTTAACTCAATAATATCTGGATGTCCATCCAGAATGCTGGCCAGTGCTTCAATGACTTTCCAATCTTTCTGTCCCACTCTTTCTCTCTCAACTAAAGACAGAAACTCATCAACATAACCAGACGTGTGTCCGACCTTGCTCAATCGGAAAGCTGGTTAGAATATGAAAAATAGCGAGCTGGTGATAGCAACAACATCAAACCTTGATTGTCAAGAACCGACGTTAAATTTATGTTCTAATTACTTTGAGCCATCACTACTACCTTCATACATATACGAACACATGAAGGCACATACACGCGCACACACACACACACAGGGACAGATACACTTACATACTTCGCAATTAATATGTAAGTTGAACTAACAAACTCACATTATTCCCCATTAAATAGCTATTTCTACAGCATTTAGTGATGATCCGTTAAGTTGATTTGAGTTGGATGATACCCTCTCTGACGGCGGACGAAAGTCTAGCACATTTTCACCAGAATCGAAAGAGACTGCCTCGGAGACAAGGTCAAGAGGAATGCTCCAATAAAGCTAAGCAACAACTGGTCAAAAGGAATGCGCCATCCTATTTTGATGGGATCCACTTTGGAATCTCTTCGTTAAACACATTATTTTCGAAATGGCAATGAGCTCAACAATAATGCCCACATACCGATGCATTCATTTCGATACATTAATCTCTATTTTTCACTGTGCCGACATAATGAGGAGCGATGAGATCATTTGCTATTCTGGATGGAAATAGAAAAAAATTGGTATAGTTTATTTTACATGCTTCGTCTGTCAGAGCATGAGGCAAAATGATGTCAGCAAGTAAGACCTTTTGTGATGAAGATGGCACATTGAAATCAGAATGGATCATTTAGACGCAAACGGATCGCTTATGGATGAGGCTGTTATGATTGCTGGACATGATGCTTGGTTCAGATCTGACATCTCAGCCGGAATCGTACACGGACTTGTTGGATTGTGCGCCAAGTCTCAATTTGCGCCAGTTTTGACAGAATGTCTTCTGTCTTCTGAAAATAGGCCAGCGGAGCCCATTCTGGGTGAGTGTGTCGGTAAAAAGGAGATGCCATCCGAGGTGGTTTATGGTGTTTCAACGACTGAAAATTAAGTTCTCCCACATAATCTGAGGATGCCCTTAAAAAACACACTTGGACCTGCCTTCCTAAAGCGTATCTACTCTCGAGTCGGCCTAGTCAATAAAATGTATTTTCTCTAAAGCTACTCATATTGAAATTAAGTAGCATAGTTAATCCTTTCGGTGACGTCGAAGAGATAGTCCAATCCAATCCACTCCAGTCCAGTCCCTCCGGAAGGAGTAAGCCTCTTGTGAGGCGAGATTAAGTTGCATCTTGAGGCCTATTCATCGCTTTGTGTGAAAAAAGTGAGCTATCATTGATCGAATCGTGCTACAGAATTACCAAAAATGTAAACAATTAATCATACAGAAATACAGAAAGATGGGAAGATCGCTCAGAAAGTACGGGTTTGCAGGTTGGGAAAGTGGGAGGGCAGGAGAAGGCCGGCTCCAATCGACGGTGTAGAAGAGAAAGCGACGTTACTGAACGTTTCATCGAGTCTGACATTTGGCCTGAATAGCCCATCTCATTCATTTGTCGGCAACATTCCTGCGCATCCACTCAAAACGCTGGCCTGTAGAGACAATTATTCGTTTGTAAGTAGACTTTCACGATTAAAATTAGTTAGATTCTCCCATTCACTTTCACATATTTGTCTTTTCCAAAAAGTTATTCTCATCCAGCATGGAATGCAGTTTCGACCTCGCCTGAACCGGTCTAACCAGCACTCCCGACCGGACTCGAACCATGCCGTTTCAGCGCATAAACACGACACGTCGCCAACTGTGTTCTGCAATGAAACGAGTACCATTCGGCCATAGGGCAGATGTGAATTCCAAACGATGCCAGACATTTTCCCACATCCCATTCTGTGGTGGGATGCAAAGTTGTACTTTATAGTCCACTTATTTTTCCTTTATAAGTAGGCTACGAGACTACTGACTATCGACAATTTCCACCACATAATACGATATAGTCAAATGGCCGGCTCTCCACGAAAATGTCATGGTTCGAGTCCATCTGGGGTGCTGATGAGACCGGTTTAGACGAGGTCGAACCTGTAGCCCATCCTGGAGGAGGATAACTATTCTGCAAACAATAATATGTAAACGAAATTGGATGAATACATCTCCAAAAAAAGTGGAGACATTACTTTACACTCTACAATGGGGTTCGTTGAAAGATTAGTAGTATTATGATTTATCAGCACTAATAATCATTACTATCATTAAGCTGAATGAATAAAGTCATATTTTACTCTGCGAGATGGTGTGATCGAAAGCAATCGTGCCATATTAAGAGACTGACACGGAATCCGCTTTTCATGCCGTCGAATTGGGCCATTCTCAGTTCGTCTCATCTTTTCTTAAGTGTTGCTACGGAAACCTAAAGGCTCCTATGCTCTTTTGGCCACATCACTTTTACAAGTCAGAGAAGAGCTATTCTACTGAATCTCTCCGTGCACAGTTTGTCCGGACCAACAAGTGCCCCTTTATTTTGCCTATTTAAGTAGACTTTCGAGACTATCAGTAGTATATCAGTAGTATGAGATGTATTCACCAAATTTCGTTTGGGCTCATGAAGAACTGGTACGAGAATTGTCCCACCTTTGTTCACTCAAGTGGACAGTTGAAATTGACGATTCGTTTTCGCTAGAGCATGAGCAAAATATGGCCGAAAGACTGTACCCTGTATCAGGTATATGAGTTGATTTTTCCCACAATAATATGAGCAGAGCCGATGTCTTGCCCAGCCTTGCTTTCCTAAAAGGTGGCCTGCACTCTCAACCTCGCCTATGTCCTGTCAACCCTACCAGCGGGACTCGAACCATGACCTATCAACCACTCGAGTGCCCTTGTGTCGGTTGCTATGACAAATATAATTTTGCTAAATCGGCAATCTCAATGGAGAATGTGATCTGAAAAATGCCTGCTATTCCTCACAATTCACATACAGCCCCTTTGGCCCAACGGCCCTCGTGGCAAGGTAGAGGAGGCGAGTGGTTAACCGGTCGAGGTTACTCGCTGCACTGTCTTGGTTCGAGTCCCGCTGGGGTGAGGTCGAAAATGCAGTCCACTTGGGCAATTGTGCAATAAAATGGAGAAAGTGGAGCTACAATCCTTCATCAGTTTGCACTAAATATGATGAACAACTGTACACTTTAGACTGAACGATAATTCTTGAAAACTAATAGCAATTGTTTATCTCTTCATTTAGGCATCCGACGGTTCAGTCGAGACATTGAGCAGATGCTTGGCTTCAAACCCGGCATCTTTTGGCAACTCTGCTGGACGGCGATCAGCCCCTTCTTCTTGTTGGTGAGTGCATATTTTTTGATTACTTTTACATCTTCTCAACTGTTTGCTGATCTGGCCAGTCTTGACGACGAGTTCATGAGTTTCACGTGCATGGTTTGTCGGTGAATCGGTTCTCGTGACAAGAGACATCCATTTCTGGTGCGCATCATTTCGATGCAAAGTCTCGGGGAATGGCTTAAACGATTGCTTTTGCTGTTGCTTTCATTCGGCTCAGAACGGCCAGTGGAATGATTTGATCAATTGACCTGAAGAAGGCTGTGGAGTGCATACAACTCCTTGGATCAACCTTCCACGAATCCGATAAAAACATGCTCAGCTTTCGTCTGTCCGCCGGTGGCCGACATCATCGAAGCAGAAAAACATGCTTTAGACTAGTCCACCAAACATGAAGACAACAAAGACGACCGGCAGCACTTCTGCCAACTTTTTATAGCCTCAATTTGCCAATCTTTCTGAGAAATCTCATGCTTTGATTGGTCATTCTATGCTTTCTCTACATGTTTTTAGGCAAATTACCGGAAACCTCTCTTCATCAAATGACTGCGGGCAACAGGAAAAGTGGATGTGTTGGTTAGTTTTGCTCCTGCCCACTTTAAGCATGTGATTGCGCTTCACTGCACGTGTATTGTCTGCATGTATTGCTTGCGAGCCAGTCGTCAGGCCAGTCAAGACTGCTCGTCGTGCTCGCGGAGGTACTTTGCGTTTCTGATCTCGTTCTCTTCAGCTCTCTCCATCCATCCATCCATCCATCCATTCATCTTTTCATCTAGCTATTCATCTACCTTTCAATCCATCTATCAATCTATTCTCAAATCTAGTTATTCATATATCCACTTTTCCACCTATCCATCTAACCATCTCCAATGAACCTATGCTGAGCAGCAGCAGAGCAAGAATTTCTACTTTACGAAGTAGCGCAAAAGTATACAAAACCAAAAGAAAAGTTGTCACTTTTTCATATGCTTTTCCTTACGAGCTTAATGAGGAGTCCTACTATTGGGTTGGCCAACACAAACCTACTCTACACGCTTGCGGATGACGTGAACATTACATACCCACAAAGGATGATAGCACATACCTTAACAGGAGACAACATTAGATAATCATATTCTTGTTTATTTATTTCAGTAAGGAAATATTTGCCCCTAACGCCATTTCTCTTTCATGCGTGAATGTGAGAGCCTCCTCTAAAAGAATGCATGCTGGGAAAAAAATTGTCATACATGCGAAGAAAAATTAAGTTTCGAGGAATTTCTTCTTTCAAAGGAAAGTTTGCGGTGAAGAGTATTCGAATCTCGGTTCTAACAGAAGACGATCCTCCTTTAAACAAAACATATTCACTCGAGGCTGTTTAAGATTATGCCAAGAAAAGTTGGGTTTCAAGGAATGTCTTGTTTCATAATTGTTGAGTTTATTTCCATTTCAAGTGAAAGTGTGCAGTGAAGAGTATTCGAAGCTCGGTTCTACCAGAAGACGACGGCGGCTTCCTCTTGACCAGCTGTCGATTGGTTTTACTGGAAGATTCATGCTGACGCTTCTCTTCATAAATGCTTTAATGCTGGATCACGATCGCAAAATTTGATGTACGCTGTGAAAGTCGTTGCTCCTGGCCATCCTTGGTTTCTTGGCTCATCGTATTTTATAATTTTATATATATATATATAGAAACTCATTAAAAAATATATATTTATATATATAAGCTCATTTAAAAAGATATATATATATAAGCTCATTAAAAAAAAATATATATATAAACTTATTAAAAATATATATATATATATTTATAGGCTCATTAAAAAAATATATTTAAATATATATAAGATCATTAAAATATATATACATATGCTCCTTAAAAATATATATATATAAACTCATTGAAAAATATAAATAAATATATATGCACATTAAAAAAAATATATATATATATATAAACTCATTAAAAAAATATATAAATATATATAAGCTTATAAAAAAAAATATAGAAGATCATTTAAATAATATAAATATATATATAAGCTCATTTAAAAAAATTAATGTATATATAGGCTCACTAAATAAATAAATAAATATATATATATAAGCTTATTAAAAAATATAAATATATATATAATCTCATTAAAAAAATATAAATATATATATATAAGCTCCTTAAAAAATATATATACAAGCTCATTAAAAATATAAATAAATATATATGCTCATTAAAAAAAAATATATATATATAAACTTATTAAAAAAAAAAAAAAATATATATATAGCTTATTTAAAAAATATCTATAGGATTATTAAAATAAAAGAAATATATATATAAGCTCATTTAAAAAAATTAATGTATATATAGTCTCACTAAATAAATAAATAAATATATATATATAAGCTCCTTAAAATATATATATATATATAAGCTTATTAAAAAAAAATATACATATATAATCTCATTAAAAAAAAAAAAATATATATATATAAGCTCCTTAAAAATATATATACAAGCTCATTAAAAATATAAATAAATATATATGCTCATTAAAAAAAAA